CCCCCCTCGGGGGGGCTCCGCCCCCGAACCCCCCGTGTTTCATCCTACTTACCAAAGTTTTTAATCTTTAACGTCAATTTTCTCGAAAACTATCAGTTTTACACAAAAATGCATAGGACATAAATGATGTATTTTTACAAGAACTACAACTTTTATTTGAAACTTTTTTTGTTACATCAATATTTCTCGAAATAATCTCAAAAAAGTGATATTTTTTCATTTTTTCTGACCTTGTTTTGACCTTGAAAATAACCTAGTCGGCGATTTTCATTATCATATTCGTAATCAGCGCGCCAAACTACATAAAATAGTGGAGTTTCAAAACAATCGGGCGTTTCACCTATTCGGAACTGCACCCAAACTGATAATTGAAAGAGCTTTACCTTCTGTCTCTGGCGTTGATACCGAGACCGACACGGTTCCCACCACGTGAGATATGCAACAATCCATGCAAGTCTTCAGTTCCTCAAACTCCTGATCCGTGAGATGCTTCGTGTTGTCTGGCTCGCATACAGTTATCAGGAACTCCAGACCTTGATTCGCCCATCTAGGTCTCAAACCGCGGCCACGCTCGCATCGCGTTCTCACAAACTCCATCCACAGCAGTGCGAACGATACTAGACCGCGCGCAAGAATTGTCTTCTCTTCCAGCGAGAACAACTTGCATAACTCCTTATGAAAGTCGAAGCCCATTCTATAAGCTTGATGGAGAATTTCGCGAATTCTCGAGCGCAAGGGGAGCATGATCGACTGGTCGTTATCAGCGTTCGATTGCTCCACTTCATTGGCGCAGCTCTGGAAGTCTTCGATCACCGCCGTTATGCGATGCCTCAAATCCAGGACTGTGTTCTGAATAAGAGCGCGGAAAAGGATTTAAGATTCTGGACAACTTGAAGCAGATGTTTCCATTTCTTACCTTTAACAGTGTAAACGACTCCATCAATTGACGATCGAAGACTGACCACTCTTCGATACTGCGTTTTAAGCAGTTGACCAGATTGATGCTCTTCACGACCTTCTCCCGAGCCTCCACAAACATTCCCTGCCACTCGCGACCCACAAACATAAGATGAAGTCTGAACTGCGTTTCACTATTAACAGATTGTTCACTAGAAACAAATCGTTCAAGGTAGAACGAGGCGTCAAAATGCAGACAAGTGAATTAGAATCGTCTTACTTGCACGGCAACTCGTCATCCTCCTTTTCCTCCGCGTTCTCCCGGATTTCGCGAGACCGTTCGACGAGGAACTCGTTGACTTGCTTGATCATCGTTCGCGTAATTTTACTGCAAAAAATATTTTCAAATAACGCATCGCAAATTAAATAGAGTAATACTTTATACATTACACGTCAGTCCAGTATTCGTTCAATTAATATATTTCTTATTTCTATCCAATAATTCCTATACGTACATTAAGTTTCTCGATATATAAAAACAATGTACCAAAAATTTCGTACACTTTAGGTACGATCTGAGATCGGTGTACAATCTAACTGTCTCATGTAGACTAATTTACTAATTTCTTTAAAAAAAATTAAAAATTTAGCACTAACATCCTGTGACGCCTCTTAATGCCATTCCATTATATTTCTCGTTTGTTATTTCTGTTCGATTCATACCAAGTACATTTCATATTTTCGCTCACCAGAATTTCACGCCAGCAATGTTATATCCATCGCTTATATTCCCAGCGATCGATTCAACGAACAGCCACTCGTCCATGATCAGATTCTTGTGGAAGCTGTCATGTTGCACCATATCTACCCACTGCTGAAGATAATCCAGGTACACCTCGAACACGGCCCTCAAGCTCTCGTCGAAATACTTGACGTCCTCCTTGAACAGACTCTCACAGCCCGCTTCGTCGCTGGCGACGGCAGTGCGAGAATGCGCGGCAAACCGGTCGCGGTGGATACAAGCAATCCTGAGACCCTCGCGAAGCTCCCGCATGAGCTGTCGGACTGACAACGGACTCGGCTGCTCCGGCTTCTGCTCCAGTCTCATCCTTAGAAATTCGTGAACCACGTCCAGAGGCACGCGCGAGAGAAATAAAAAAGCTGCCCTGCGAAAAGAAATATTGCTATTATACAAACTGTTTAATTTTTCGTAACACAGCGTCCGAATCGCATAAGAAATATGCAAACGACTAACTTTAGCTTAATTTACAAAAGGATTAATTTGATTTACTGTCAAATTCGACTCAAATCGTGTATCGAAATTTTACAATATTAAGAATGGAAAAATTCCAGGCACCTGTACGATGGTAGATTCAATTCCTTCGCCTCGGGGCTCCAAACGCCGTACCGCCGCAACTCTCGGTCGCCTTCGTATTCTTCATTCGTGTCATTATTACATTCCTTACAGACATGTTTTTCTAAAGTTAGGCTTGCCTTTCTCAAGACTGATGTATGCAGTCGATCGAGGAAATTCAGACTTTTGCTGAGACCTCTCGTTTTCAACACATCTTCGATGTACTTCCTGAAACGTGCAGAACAAAAATTATCGTCAAATGATTTAAACATACTCATAATACATTCAACATTTCATTTAGTTGGTTGAAAACATAAAGTATGAAATTTTGTAACAAATAATGTATAAAATAGAAATATATGTATGCATTTAAATTATTTGCTGTTAAATTCATATTAAAAGCAAATCGATTAAGATTAACACGCATTTATCAAAACGCACCTGTAAGCGTGACGGTCAAATTCGACCAAGTAGAAATCGAGTCGATCGACTCTCTCGTCCTCGATGTACGAGAACGAAGTCTCCGGGGTGGGCGGTAATGATTGCGATACAAACGATAAGCCTCCGATCGAAGAATTGTTGCTGTTATTGCTGTCGGAAGGACTGGAGGAGGTTTCGTCCTGCTGAGGTACTTCAAATCGCACCGTGCACTGTCGCAGTTCCGTAGAGTCAACGGTATCTGAGGATCGCGAACTAAAGATAGGAACAATCGATTATCGAAGTTTCTATAAAAAAATTGAAAATATCTCTTTTCAATCAAGTGTAATGAAATTCGCACGACAATCTACGACAGATGCAAACTCACAAAACAATATCTCTCTGTTTCGTAAAGCTTCACGAAACGCTGACTCAGATTGGCGTACCTGATGCCGGAGTCGGTGGACTCTTCCTGCTTCTTCTTGCCGTGCAGCATCATGAGCAATCTGCCCAGTATGTGTATTTTGAGCCGATGGTGTTTCGTCATATTGTACCAGAGGCACATAGCCTTCACCCGATCGGTGAACTCCGCGCTCTTGTACAACGGGTAATTAGCGGCGAATGCCTGGGAGGATGGATACAAGGCCTCCGCGGCTTCCAAGCGAGCCAGCAGTCCTTCAATCTGCTGCAATGCTTCCCCCTGCGCGCGGGCGCACGCACGACAGTACATGGAAAGGCAGCCTGGGCACACGCCCAATTCAATATTCGGACTCAAACCGGAATTCGTGGATCGATCGCTCGAGACGTCGCCGGGACTGATGCAACCCAAGCTTCCCTCTTGCACGTCCGCGATGGGATCGTATCTAAAGGGGTGATAATTGCATCATTCGATAATTCCAGGCATTCGATTGTCGTCTTTCTTTATATCGACTGCAAACTTTTCGCTTCTCGAAAACAAATATTTCTCAATAGATTAAAAAATGATTTCTCAATTTGCCTATTTCGAAGCATTCGAAAATTTGAAGTGTTATAATATATTCTCGCACACCTGTACTCCATTATTTCTGTAATTAGACCTTCCACCGCCTCCCGTTGTCGACATAAATATTCGTCTTGCGCCATCGCGCTACGGTCCGCATGATGCGCCTGCAATTCCAACCATATCAAATCCTTCAGTTCGTTCTGCCACCTAGTTTCCTCATGGCTCATCTGACGGCGACAATTCCGCTCTGTGCTCCCCTGCAAACATTCATAATTTTATTAAGAAATAACAAAAATGTATATTTTAATAAATATATAAAAAGAATCCGTCAGTGAAAATAATTTTTTGAACACTCCAAAATAACATTGTAACACGATAAATACAATGTATTTGTTCAGTTTATTCTGTAATATTGAAAAGATTTCTTGAGATATTTACCAACTTAATTAAGAAAGAGAACGTGTCGTGAAACATTTCCCTCTCCTTGAAGCTCTGTGATCTAGGCGACTGCGCGCTTGTATCCTCTATTTCTATGCATTTGCTGAACATTACTCGTTCCACCCTCTTCTCCTCCACATCGACAGGCTTGGATCGTAAACACCGAAATCTATTTCTAGTTTCAATCTGTAAGAAAGATCAAAGATTGTTTGATCACATGCGCGCACAGTGAAAAAATAATATACTCGTTACATCGCGAGAATAATATTGAAAAAAATGCAAACAGTTGCTACGTGCGAAAACTTAATTAATCGACAAACAAATTTACAACTACGAGCTAATCGCCAAACATTGCGCAAGCACTTTCTGAATGCAGCTGGTCTTCAAATCAATTCTTTAGTTTCTCGCACCTTGATTTGATTCGGTGTCGACACTGTCATGTCGTTATTGTGTTTTTCGGCGTAATTGAAAGCAGCTTCTACATCGAGCTTTAGGTCCCTTTCATTGCCACGCAATAATTTCAAGCTTCTCTTGCACTTCCTACTACCATCCTTTGGTTCCTCCTTCACCTCGTTCTCGCGATCTTTGTCCGCTTTGTCACACATTTCGTTGAAGATAATAGTATCCAAGGTGTTGCGCCTGCGAATAGCGATTCTCGGTCGAGCTTCTTTTTCCATCGATTTAAGATCACTAGAAACGACAAAAGCTAAAGATAACTGAGATAGTCACTCGAGTGACAATTAAATTAGCGACGCGTCGATCAATATTGCGAAAATTATTTCTTGTATGCGAAGACAAGCAATTTCTATTTGTTAAAAATATATTTTAATTGTTTTTCTCGTTTCATTTAATACATGCACTTGTATATTGATATTTCTTGATTAAATCCAATTATATTTAACACACTACAATTGTATCGCAATTAACAGTAAACGATTATTGTAAGTGCAATTTGCAACTTTAAACACGTACCTGCCTGAGAACTTTTGCTTCATGTGTCTTTTCTTACGACTGAGACGAGTTCTGGGTGGCGTTTGTCCGTACATATCGGACATTGTGTGCAGCGATTCCTCAAATTCGCTCGTTGGACTGGACATGTCTACTTTACTGCAACACAATGTTTAATATATATTATATTTCCGCCGGAAATTATATCATCACACTCTGCTGATTATCGTCGGGGAATTTTTACAAGATAAAAGATGTTGCTTTTTAGATGTAAGCATTGATCCTAAAAAGCATATTTGTGATTTCTGCACATTTAGATTAATATATGAATAACTCTGCAAGGTGCTAAGAATACAAATAGACAAATATTTTCAGAAATTATAAAAATTAATAATTAATTTTAAATAAAAATTAAAATAAATAAATAATTTTGCTTAAATAATAGCAGTTATAGTAATTTTACATCACAAATCCACTTTCATTGAGAACTTTATCTAAAAACAACTTTGTTATCAGGGTTTCATGATGCAATTTTCTTTCTGATACACATTCATTATTGTCACATATAAATTATAGCAAGAACACATTCGCAAATACAAAACGAATTAAAACCTTTATCTTAAAATAAGAAATCTGAAGAGTGATGTAATTCTATAATATTCAATACATTTATGATATATAATAAAAATTAGTAGAAATATATAAATATAAATGACAATGATTATATAAAGCCTTAAACGCGAAGAATTGCATGCCTAAACGCCGATAAACAGAAACGTCTTGTGCACTGCCAAGTTTACAGTCAAGAATTTGCTCACAACTCGTTGCCAATTTGTCACATCGACAGAATACGAAATCGTCGTGCACAGCACTCGCCAAGCCAACGAGCACGATAACGTTCAGAGTACGCATCTGGAGCGTCTCGATATGCGCAGCGTATCGACTCGCTGTTGCACGTGCGTCGAAGTATCGTGCACCAGTTGAATCGTTCGGAATTTCTCCGGCGAACAACTGGATACTGTCGCACTGGGTACGTAAACAAGAGCGCATCGCCGATAGCAGGTAACGTGAGCGCCGGTTCACTATTAGAGTCGGTCCGTCGCAAATTACGTAAAGCCACATGTCGACGGTCTGCTATAAACTCACCTGGCACAATCGACGTCCTCATCGTCAGTGGAGTCGCAACCAGGTATCTTCGTGACATGACTCGATCTCACGCGATGCGACATTCTTACACCTGTCCAGAAAAAGCATACGATCAGTCGTTGTCACCGCGATAGCCTTCTCACTTCACTGCCGTGCACTGCCGTCAATCGCTGAAGACTGCGGAAGCGCAGACGCCGTGTGCAATCGACATCTGTCGACCAGTTTCCGAATGTTGACGACTTTCGAATGTGGTGTAGAGCGAAATAACTCTCTTTTTGACCAAAAGCCGGAAAAATCGAATTCAATTCTATATTGTTGTTATATTTCGACAAAATATAACTTGTAAATTGTATATATAATTGTCATTAAAATATACACTTACACAATATAGTAAAAAATGTAGAATAAGCGGTTTTACATATACGCATCTCGCTTTATGACTATATTTCTGTTTTCTTGAAACAATTTTTTTTTGTCCCACTATCGTATTTTCTACTAGATAAATAAGAAATTGATCTCTATCTATTTATAATTATATTTTACTTAAATTTCAAAGCTCCAAATTTTAAAAACTTATGTTAAATAATCAATAATAATTAATGCTAATCTAATTTTAATATTAAAAAGTATGTTTTATTGATATTACTGTTAATATGTTTATGTATAATTAATTTTTTACTTTGAATCACATTTAATTTAATAAATATGTAATAAAAACAGTAATAACCAGAGAAATTGTTTTTAATAAATATTTAAATATTTACAAAAGTTTATTTGAAGTTTGACAACCGAATGATGATAACGACGTTCAAATAGCATCAATCAACAATAACGATAATCTTAACTATAATTCGTTTTACTTTTATAAGTTATAAATATGTTCATAAATTTATGTGTCACATGAATAACAAGTATTGGAACTTATTATATACGCTTACAAATTTTATTTAAGTGTACTATGTTTTCAATTTATAAACAATGTTTATAAGTTTATAAAGTAAAATGATTTTATGAATTAATTATCGATTTTTCTGTAATCATTAAACTATCGGCGATTTATTTAAATGCATTTAAAAATATTTTATTTCTATTTCATTTTTTTATAAAAATCGTAGATCGTGCATTTTTCATATTTTATACTCAAATTTATTATAATAACTTCTGTAAAGATCGCCGCAAAATAATATAATAATTGTCAGTAAAATATCTCAATTTTTAATTCTTCCAGTTGTATTTCTTCGAAAATTGTGATATATAATATAACTAAACGACACGCATGTCTTCAAGATTAATCATGGTAGAAATTAGTTCCTTATTAATAAGATGGCGTTTGGAAACAAATATGACATAGTTTCTTTATTTAATTTCTTTTTAAATTCCAAATTATTATTTAATGTAAAATTTTTTTAATGAATTTCTTCTGCATTTTTTTCATCCTTCTGATCTAATATCCTTTTTGTTCTAATCATAATAACAGAAAATAATATAAAATATATTTGATAATTAAAAACTTATCCAATTTTTGCTAAAAAATGTGCAAAATACAAAAATTATAACAGCATGTTCTTTCTTTCATTTATCTTTAATTAAGCTTATTTAAGAATTAAACACACTTAACATAATGTAGAATTATGAACAATAAGGTTGATGAAATCAAATAGATTTTAATTTACAATAAAGGGCAATAAGAAACAAGTTATATATCACGATGCAATTATAACTTTGATGAAAGAAGATATAGAGATGGCACTATCATTATTTCTAATATAAATTTTCTATTATTTTTTATCATAGTAATATCCAGACATCTGTATAATAAGTATGAATTATCATGTGCTGCATTTTAATTTTAACATTTTCAATGGGTTAGAGATTACAAATTAATGTACGGACATTTTTAAACTATACTTGTATCTAAAGTGCAACTTGCGAGAAACTAATCTTGGTAATGTGACTGGTACTGCTTGACAAGCAAAGCCATTGCATGCGTTTTCTCTCCTTTTTGTATTATATGTATGATAATACCGTAAATTTATATTTACTTCAATATATTGCATTTACTAACGCAATTGTTGAAAAGTTAGATTACATAAAAATCAATATTTTCGCGATCATTATTTTTCCTGGAACTTCCATTCAAAATTTGTTTTCAAAAAAATTCTTAAGCCAGACAATTTTTTGGAAATGGAAGATTGCAGATTGATTAAAATTCGAATATTCAGATCAAAGTTAACTAACAGTAAAACTAGGATTATTTAACTGATCAAATTTTAATTGTTAATTTGTAATCTCAATCTCTAAAGTATAATCTGATATGAAATTGTCTAATTCAATAGAGTAATCTTTTTTAAAGAAAAAGTTACATTATAATTTAATATACTTGTGTTTTATAAATATTATTATACTTACAAATTTAATATGGAAATACTAATAGGTTGTGTAATAAATAATGGTGCATTTTTCAAATAAATTTGTCTACTTTATACGACTGGCAAAACAGATTTAAACTAACACAAAATTAAATATTCATTTGTCAATTAATTTGTCAAAGTTATAATCAATTGTACTCGTATCATTACTATTCATCTAGATAATTACGTAAAAAAAAAAAACAATTTATTAAAAAATTCCAAATTATTCATTACAATCCAATATGATATAACGTCACAGATTAATAAGTTGACAAATAATTAGGTTACGAGCCTATTGCGTTTTTAATTAGTGGATTTTAATTTACAATATTTATCAAATATAATTTTTTTACAAGTAATTATTTTTAATTATTTTAAAATTTTTAGTAAGCGAAAAAATGAAATACAATCAATAAAACACGCATCAATAAACTTTTTACTTTTTACACACATACATATACACTACAGAGTAGAGAACTACATTTGCACACTTATGTTCTCCCAATTAATGTATTAATTGTAATTTATAACAGTATCAATAAGTTCAGTAAATTATGCGTATTTCTTTAATATAGTTATTATTTTAAATTAATTTTATTTGAGATGTAAATAATTAGTTTTGTATTATTTCTTAAAAAATTATTTGTGTAAATAATATGTTGTAACATCTTTTTCGCGGAATAGTAACTGCTATACCAACTGGGGATAATGTTACAGCGCTGCTTCATGACTTGGACTTCATAATTTCGACTGACGTATCAATATTTACATTCAAATGGAAAACCATACGTATTTCTTCGTCCTCTTGTACCGTATTCAGTTGACTGCGTCCTGCAAGGAGAAACGGACACAATGTCAGAAATTAGTGTAACAAGAGAAAACGTGTGGCAGTATTACGAAAAAGTGTCGGATTACCAAGCAAAATGCAGATTCTGCAGGAATGAATATACTTACACTTATATAAATTTCAGTAAACATATAAAAAAGCATCCTTGTATAATAGAATACGAAGAATATAAAGGACGACAAGAATGGCCATGGATATGTTTCAAGTACAACGATACTTCCACCTCACAATGTCTTTTCTGTTGTGAGAATTTCCGATCTAATTTTCAATTTTTAGCTAATCATTTAAAACAAAAGCATTCTAATAAAGTGGAGAGTTACGTACTTTACGATTGGACATGGAAATATTTTGCGAAAGTTAATGATTTTAAAATTGAATGTACCGTGTGTATCTACAGTGAATCATGTATTTTGTCATCCAATATAAGGAAACATCTAGTACAGAAACATTTAAAAGAATTAAAAACTGCACAAGAAACACGCGACATAGCTCTTTCGTTAGAAACCGTTCAGAATTTAAAAAGTATGGAAATTAAAGAAAACATGTGGGAATATTATACCAAAGTGACGTATTTTCAAGTAAAATGCAAATTCCAAAATACCCATCTATTTTTTAATTATAATTTACAATTTTATATGCATGTAAAACAAAAACATGAAGAAATCTGTAAATGGGAAGAGGATCACAAAATTGAAAAATGGCCATGGATGTGTTTTAAGTATTCGTACGAATATATTTCCGATAAAAGCATACTATTCTCAGAATGTTTCTTGTGTGGTGATTTCTTTCCGGCCGATAAAATTTCTACAACGACACATCTCTCAGACAAGCATTCTGCGACAGGAATGCGTAATTTTACAGATAATTGGATAATAAAATATGTTATACAAAGTGCTGACACTAGAAAGTTCAAGTGTACTATTTGTTGCAAAAACTTAACCATTGATATTAGTAGTGAAATGTATTATCATACAATTAAAAGTCATCCGGAAGAATTGCAATCGATTATTTCAAGAAAAGACACGCAAAAACTGTGGCAAAATTACAAAAATTTGCGAAATTTTCAAATACAATGCCAACATTGCGATTTTCAATATTGTTATATCAATACAACAAACTTTATTGATCACATAAAAAAAGAGCATATTGATGAATATAATTACGAAGAAACAAACGGGAAACAATGGCCGTTCAAGTTTTTCAACTTTATTAGCTCAACTACCGTACAATGTTGCCTTTGTATTGTTATTATTTTATCTTTTGATATAAATAAATTGGAAACTCACTTGAATCTGCATTTTTCTAAGAAACCGAATTACTTTATCGACTGCGACTGGATATGGAAATACTGTAAAAAAGTTGGTGATTTTGAAGTGGAATGTTTTTGTCAAAGGAAAATATCTCTTGATGTTTCGTTATGGTATTTTGATCATCACATTGCAGCTACACATCCGAACAGGCTGCCAAGTACACAGAGAACGCATGACATAGCTAAACCATCAGGAAGCCAACCAAACTGAATAAAACAGGTGACAATATGTTTTCTTCATATTATTGTTATCATTTTTATGTATAATTAATTTTTTACTTTTTTTGAATCGCATTTTATTTAATAAATATGTAATGAGAAGAGCAATAACCATAAAATTTGTTTTTAATAAATATTAAAATATTTGCATAGGTTTATTCAGAGTATGACAATGGAATGATGATAACGACGTTCAAGTAGCATCACAACCAACGATAACGGCAATTTTAATTTTGACGATTCAAATAATTTGAAGTACACGAAAGAAGTGGCATGCATTTTTACGTATAATTATTCCTGGCGTATAATTTTACGTTTATAAGTTATAAATATGTTTATAAATTTATGTGTCACATAAATAACAAGTATTGGAATTTATTATTTACGCTTACAAATTTTATTTAAGTGTGCTATGTTTTTAATTTATAAACTATGTTTATAAGTTTATAAAGTAAGACGATTTTATAAATTAATTATCGACTTTTATGTAACCATAAAATTATCGGCGATTTATTTAAGTGCATTTATAAATATTTAATTTTTATTTTATTTTCTTATAAAAATCGTTGATCCTGCATTTTTCATATTTTATACTCAAATTTATTATAACTTCTGTGGAGATCGCCGAAACGTAGTACATTAATTGTTAGTAAAATATGTCAATTCTTAAATCTTCCAGTTATATTTGTTCGAGAATTGTGTTATATAATATAACCAAACAGCACTCATGTCCTCAAGATTAATCATGATAGAAATTACTTTCTTATTAATAAAATAGCATTTGGAAGCAAATATGATATGGTTTCTTCATATAATTTATAAAAGGATTTATAAAAATGTTATTTATTGCAATATTTTTTTGATGAATTTGTTTTGCATCTTTTTACATCTTCTGATTTAATCGTAATAACAGAAAATAATATTACATATATTCGATAATCAAAAGCTTATCCAATTTTTGCTAACCAGAAAATGTGCAAAATACAGAAATTATAACAACACGTTCTTTTTATCATTCATTTTTAATTAAGGTAATAAAAGAGTTCAACACATTAAGAATAATGTAGAATTATGAACAATAAGATTGATGAGGCCGAATGATTTTTAATTCACAATAAGGAACAAATTGTACATTGGGAAGCAATTATAACTTTGATTGAAGAAGACATAAAGATAGTACTATCATTATTTCTTATATAAATCTTCTTTTCTTTTTTTTGATAATGATATCTGGACATCTTGTATAAAAAGTTTGAATTATTTTGCTGCATTTAAATTTTAATATTTGCAATGGGTTGGAGATTACAAATTAGTTCAGTGAATTCAGAGGTTTTTTTCCAAAATACTTAAAAATGGGTAAGACTGTAAAAAGTAATATATTACATTTCACATTAATATAAAATAATAGCCAAACAAAAAGCATATGATATTCTACAAGCATATAATAAGATATGGCTAAACATTTTGTTTAAAAATTATAATTTATTCTTTTATAGTACTACAATATGGATTTGGTCTTTTATAGGGCTACAATATGGATGGTCACGATCTTTCTGGCTACTTTTCGATTGGCGCCATTCTTTGTCTGATTGAACAACATTTTCGAGATGAGGTTGGTTGCAAAGAAGTTGGTGATCATGTACAGGCGACCATTTGGACAGCGGATCAGAAACATACTGGTATATGGTACCGCATTCTCGATTCCTTTACTAAATTATCTGTCATTATTGATGTAAGTTTAATACTTGTAGAATCAATGAAAATGCAGATTTAGTCGGTTATAATTTTATTAAAGTTTATAAATGGAAAAGATATTAATTTGTAAAAATATTACATAAATAATTCTATTTTAAGAAAATTTATATATTATTATGTTAATTGTGTATTAAGGATACTCTTGATTTCGTTTTGTGATATTCAGCATAGTTTTTACTTTAAACTTTCTACCAAAACTATTTCATCATATAAAAATTTCTGATAATTATTCGCTGGATGATTTTTTGAACTATTCTCAATCAAAATTCAAAACTAGTGATCTCAATAATGGTCCTCAGCCATTAACAAACCAATCGGTCGAGACTTCTCGTAATCCGGATTACAGAGACCTACCACTTGCCACATAAGTATGATTATACCATCATGCTCTGGCATTTACTAGCAGCTAGATTAACTTTTATTGACGTATTTGATGTACGTTTCTTTTGTTTTCGTTTAAATGTTTAGATTAATCAACATTTTACATTGAGTATAATTCACATCTCCTTTAGTTTATTTTTATTTACATCAAGTTTTATACAATTCTCACAATAATTTTTAAATATAAATTTATTTGCATATTTTACAGAATTTTTTGACACTTGTGATGATACCCGTACGATGGTGCATTCCTAATGCATGATATGAGTCTTAAGCTACAGGATACGTCGCGAAGCATACATCAGTAATGAAATCATTATACATCACAAAGCACTGCAAGCGGCTTGCGAAAAATCTAAGACTAATGGTGGTATCGAATCGTAAGTTGCGCATACGTACGTAGCTGCCAACGAGAGTGCAGACAGATGAAACAGAGTAATGAGAAATTCTTTCTGTACTTCTGAATTCGATTTGGAAGCCCATGGGAATCCTCTGTCGCTCGCTAATACAGCTCCGCGTATTAGCGCTATTACGTTATAATAAATACTAAGAAAATTCGTCAAATTGGCGTGATTCGCGAGTAACATAGTTTTTTTGAGAATTATTAGGATGGTGCATAAAGTTTGTCGTTTTTGTCAAATAATAGAAATTTAAAAAAAATTACGTATTGCTCAATTTTTATAATTAATTTGTATTAATTACAATAGTCACTATAAACTTTAATATTTTTTCTATCTCGATAAAAAAAGTAAGTTTTGTTATTTATTAAAAATATATTTTAAAATAGGAAGTAGTGGAAATACGACAATCTCCTTGCATCAATTTAATAACAATGTGATTTTTGGCTAGTCGTGATATAAATTCGCTTGTGATTTGACGAAAAACATTATATTTGAAAGAATATATATTGAATGAAAAGATAAAGCTGAAAGTTATCTAATTATCTCTATTCGTCTTACATGTAGATGCTATACAATATGTTATATGCTATATTTTTATGCTGGATGAGAATCTCTATAAATTTTATAAACTCTATTAGAAAATTACAAATGAATTAAAATATTAGAGAATCAGTTATATGTTGCAATTATAAGAATCAATTTTTCTAAAGATTATTGTAATATGATATACCTATTATTGCTAAGTTTACAGTACATTAACTTTTTAATATGAATTATTTTATTGTTATCAGCAACATTTCTGAATTATACATTTTTGCCAAGCATGTTATTTTTAAAATATTGTGCAAAGTTATAAAATATGCGATTTACAAGATAAATTTGAAAGATTGTCTCTCCTATTTTATGATTTACCATCAATGGCAATAAAATCAATATTATTGTTCAACTGGATATAGCTAATGCTCCGCATATAGCGCTATCACAACTGACACAAATACTATATTCGCCACTATTAGGTATTACAAGTGCTCATTATAAAGATGTTAGAACATAAACAAATGTTTTATTTTTGTAATTGCTAATCTATTGGTTCAAAATTATTTTTAATAACCATTTGAGATAAATCATGAGACAGATGTTAGGAGATATGCAATAGAAGTTTAGTGACTGCATTATGCGGAAAGCTATATATACGTTAACGTGATTATATGTTTATAAATAATCCGTGTACATATATATATAATCGTGTTAATACACGCTTATCTCACAAATTATATAAATTGCACGAGATATTCCTGACACAACTTTGGACTTGCTTAAGTAATACTATTAATAATTCTATGACATTTTGCAGGTTTTATTAGATTTCTTTTAGGACATCTTGTATAAAACGAATAATTTGTTTCTTTCTCTGATGTTTTATTGTTATACAATAATATACAATATAAACTTATATATTCTACCTGTATTTAAATATTTGTGATACAAGAAAAAAGATTAATGTATAAACATTATTAAACAACATATGCACTTAACGTGTAACTTGCGAGAAACTTTCTCTGGTAATATGTCTGCTTGACAAGCAAAGACAATTGCGCTATTTCATTCGTTATAGTATTAATCTTGTGATAATACCGTAAACTGACTTCAATAATTGCGTCAATATACTAATGCAATTGCTGAAAGGATAGATTAGATTACATAAGAACTTAATTTTTCCTGCAACTTCCATTCGAAATTCTATTTTTAAAAAATTTTTAAGTCAGACAATTCTTTGGAAACTGAAGAATATTGCAAATTGATCAAAATTCGATTTTTTAAGCCAAGCTAACAATAAGACAGAAATTTCTTAATTAATCAAATTTTAATTTTCAATTTATAACTACAGTCTCTGAAATATAGTCTAATGTGAAAATATCTAATGCAATACAGTAATCCTTTTCGGAGAAAAAGTTAAATTATAATTTCGTATACTTGCGTTTTATATACATTACTTGCAAATCTGAGATAGGAATAATATTGGGTTGTGTAATATATAATGTTGCATTTTTCAAATAAATGTGGCTACATGTCTGGCAAAACGCAGTTGTACTAACACAAAAATTAAATATTCATTTGTCGATTAATTTATCAAAGCTATAATCAATTGTATTCGTATTATTACCTTTTATTCAGATAAATACATAAAGAAAAATGACATTATTCATTAAAAAATTCAAAATTACTCATTACAATCCAATATAATATAGCGTTACAGATTAATAAGTTGACAAATAATTAGGTTACAAGTTTATTGGGCTTTTTATTAGTTGCTTTTAATTCATAATATTTATCGAATATAATTTCTTCACAAATAATTATTTACAATTATTAAAATTTTTGACTTTATGTTACTTTGCTCTTTATTACAAAACTCTAGATAACGAGAAAGAAAGGAATAAAATCAATAAGACACGCACCAATAATAAACTTTTTATTTTTTACACGCAAATATACATTACAAATAGTAGATATATATACTACACAAAGTAGAGAACTACATATGCATATTTATGTTCTTCCAATTAATATATTATGTATATACATATAATGTATAATGTAACAGTATCAATAAGTTCGGTAAATTATGCGTATTTCTGTAATATAGTTATTATTTCAAAATAATTTTATTTGAAATGTAAATAATTAGTTTTGCATTATTTCTTAAAAAACTATTCGCGTAAATGATATATTGTAACATCTTTTTCGCGGGATAGTAATTGCTATACCAACTGGGGATGATATTACAGCGTTTCTTTATGACTTGGACTTCATAGTTTTGACTGACGTATCAATATTTACATTCAAATAAAAAACTATACAGATTTCTTCGTCCTTTTGTACAGTATTCAATTCTCTGCGTTCTGTAAGGAGAAACGGACACAATGTCAGAAATTAGTGTAACGAAAGAAAACGTGTGGCAGTATTACGAAAAAGTGTCGGATTACCAAGCAAAATGCAGATTTTGCAGGAATAAATATTCTTACACCAATAATTCACAAGTCCGTCGACATATATATATATATATATATAATATATATATATATCGCTAAGCATGATCATATAATAGAATAACGAAAAATATAAAGAACGACAAGATTGGCCATGGATATGCTTCAAGTACAACAATATTTCTACCTTACAATGTCTTTTTTGTTGTAAGAATTTTCAATCTGATTTTCAATATTTAGCAAAACATTTAAAACAGAAGCATTTTTACGAAGTCCAGAATTACGTACTTCACAATTGGATATGGAAATATTGTATGAGAATTGATGATTTTGAAATAAAATGTATTGAGTGTTCCAACAAATTATCTGTTTTTCTCCGAAGCATACTAAATAAATATATAGTAACTAAACATTCGGAAGAATTAAAAAATGCACGAAAAACACGCGACATAGCTCTTTCGTCAGAAACCGTTCGGAATTTAAAAACTATAGAAGTTAAAGAAAACATGTGGGATTATTATATTAATCTGTCGTCTTTTCAAGCAAAATGCAAATCGCAATACTGCGTTTATAAACAAAATTATATTTATGTTAGTATTCTTTCTAAGCACGTACAAGAAATGCATGGAGAAATATTTGAATGGGAAGAGGAATACAAAAATCAAAAACCATCCCAGCAAACACCAAGTTACAGTTATATAATTGTTAGTT